GGTACATCCATCTACACCCAGAGAAATAAGTTGTTGTGCCAAATGTTTTTCCATTTTACCACAAAGAAAAACGTCAATAGATTTTAAGCAAAAGAGTTTTCTGTTATCCCAAAATAGTAGATGTATTTGATTCAAGAGTTAAAATCTGTTTTAAGTCAATAAGGAAATCATTTATGGTAAAATATATAATTTTTGGCGTAAAAATAATAACTATTGAATTAATAAACTACCTTTTTAAATTTAATGTGTTTAAATATTAAACTAATATGTGAACATTATTGCGCTAAAAGTGCGATTTATTATAACAAAACTCTTAAGTTATTGAATCAATGAAGTTTTCCTTTTTGATTAAAATTTGTATCTTTTTATTTCAAAATGAAAACATTATTATTACAAAAAAATTTAATTTTCAGATAAAAGCATAAGTTATTAGTTTAATAAAGGTTGTTTTTGTACTTACAAGTTTTCTTTTTCTTTAAAAAAATTAACCTTTTTATCACCAAATGTTTTAAATTTTCAGTTAAAAGAATAAGTTATTAGTTTAATACAATACCAATTTTATGGTAATAGGTATCGTATTTTATATTAAAATACTTTACCATTTGAAAAAGTAGGAATTTGGTAAGTGAAACACCTTAATTGATTATGTTACTAGTTATTTATTTGAAAGCTATACAATACAAGTATGAGAAAACAATATGATAAGTAACAATCAATATGAAATGAAAAAATGGTACTAGTAAAAATAAGTTAAACTAATGATAACAAATAACTATATGTACTTAATACTAATACTAAAATATAAAAATGTAAATTTACAAGAGAGTAATACCCTGAAAATGAGAAACCCATGTAATAATACTTTGCTTTTGAATGGTTACAGTAAAAAGGAGAGGTAAGAGATTCATTGCGTCACTAACTTACGCCCTTAAGATAGTGTCCTCGTCTGATGGGGGATGGAAAGGGGTAATGTGCCTAGGCGGATTTCGGTTTTGTTGAAAGTGATCATTTATTTCGAAGTCATCCAAGTAAAGAAAATATGATATTACAACTTGTCTTTTTAGATTTTCAGTACATTTATGTTTCCAACTAGACCCATCAATAAAATTTCACAGCTTTTGACATTTTACAATCTTATTCATATTATCAACAGTTTCTTGGAAAACATTGTCACTTTCAAAATATCTTTTAAATTATAAGCCAATATCAAAAACACAGCCTTGCACTGGATTGGCATCTATAGTAGGTGTATTATTAATAATAACATCTGTCAGTGTGTTGCTTATTGTGAAACATTTGGGATGAGAATAGATGCCCATTTTAGTAATATGATTAAAAAATTTATATTCAGTTTTTACATTTTGAAACGGATCTTGCAAGAATAAACTTATTTTTTTCAATTTTTCGTGAACGTCTGTATTATTTGTTAAGGGTAAAATGTTTTTGGTTAGATAATTGGATATAGGGATTGTAATAAATGATTGAACTAAGCGTTGAATATCAACAACATTTTTGCGATTAAAATTTTGTTGGCTATGTAACTGTAAAGTAAACGCTATTAAATCACCTTCAATACCAAATTCGGTTGCATTTGACGAAGTATTTCCTGATTGTTGAGAATATAAATTTTCTTCTGCAATATTACTACCCATGTGTTCTGTTTTGGAAAGTGAATTTATTGGCGAGAATTCTAGAAATTTTTTTTTGTCAGTACCTACTACAATTATGCGTGGTTACAGTTTGATCTTCTTGTCCCTGTATTTATCTCTTAACGTTTCTATCTTGGAACAAATATCGTTTGTTGTATTAACTTGTAACACAAAATCTTCTTGTGCATCTAATATGGTAGGTTTGTGCCATTTATTAATACGCTTTGGTTGGAATATCGCATGTAGTAATATTGAATCTACAAAACGAATCAAATGTTAATGACACATGTTTACTTTGTTATTCATTTACTCTAGTTTCATAACCAATTTAAAAATTTTAAATTTCACTTTGTTGTTTTACCCTGGTAATCCACGGTAAATCCATGGCTATAGAAAGCACGTTAAAGTGAACTTAAAATTTTTAAGTTGACTATAGAACTGGGCATTAAGGTTTAGAGTTTTTTGTGAATTAATGATTTTCGCTTGTCAATAAACGATAATGTATCACCTTATATAAAAAAATAAGTATTATTATTTTACCTTTTGATAACTGTGTGGGTGTTTGTAGTTGACCTAACAGCTCTCTGTTACAATGATCTTTTATATCTGCATTATATATGGGTAATATTTTGTCTATAAAGTCATCAGAATTTTGTAGTAGAAGAGATCCTTTACCTTCATGGATATTTTCGAAATCAATATTAATCTAAAAAATTAAATGTTTTAATGAAATTAAAATAAATATATTCATATTATACCAATTCATATCCTTTTACATCATTATATTTTGGCCACTGTTTTAAAATATCATTTAATGACCCATCAAATGATTTAAATGAATTTAATCTGTATTTCGCAGTGCGCTGCCAATAATTTTTAACTTTTTCCCAAAGACATGGATCGGAGTTTGTTAATAAGAATGCTGTATAATATTCGATGTCATCTACATAAGAACAAATGTAGACATTAGAGATACACATCCGTCACCGACTAAAGTTCATTTTATTTTACCTTCTACAAAATCAAGATTTTGTAAACTATTATTTTCTTTATTTTCTTCTGAAACCTTTAATTTTTTTGATTGGTATCGTATATTACTGTAACGGTCGTAAAGTTTTCCACTCGGATTTTTTTTATTCTTTCTAGGAGTGTAATAAATAGTCTATAACAAAACATTTTTAACTATACATATATGAATATTATTATTTATTTGTTAGGATTTGTATTTCAAATGTTGTATGTACCTGAATTTCAGAAGGAAACAACTCTACTATTGACTTAGCATATTTTTCAAACACATCAGCGGTAATTTTTTTGTTATCTGAAAACATACATTCGACGATTATATGTACGAGATCTGTCTGATGTTTTTTGTCTAATTATTGATGTTGCTGAAAATATTTCAATACCAGTTGAGCTTTAATGGCTTGTTTTAATGTCTGTTCTAAACTTTCTTTGGTAAACTCCGACCAGAGAGTGGGCGGCGTAGACTAAAAATTACCTCGTTTTACTAATTACTTAATTAAATTATAAATTATAATTTGCGTTCCATTAGTAAAAAAGAAAATTGGCTAATAGGCTTGTTTTAGTTCGAGAGTCCTGAGCTTAAGTAACATATAAACAAATCAATAAGCAGATTATTATTCCGCATAATAATATAAAAATATATAAATAAAAAACTTACATCGTCCGGCGCCGGACTAATTACAAACGGAATATTCTCTAACCATGAACCCACACTTGATTGTGCCGCTGACTTTGTTGATGCTAAAGGTGTGAAATAACCCTAAGTGCACAGAAAAAAAATATAAGTATTTGCTTAACTGCGCCTACAATCATAATATGATACATTTTCTTCTTTCCACTTGAATAGATTGCATCGAAATTTAATTCGTTTCCCGAATTTTTCGTACGGTATTAAGTTATCAACGTCTGATATAGTAAGTTCTTTGAGAACTTCTATGTCTATTCCTTTTTCTAAAATTAAATTTTTTTTTGATTAATTAACGATGTAATAAACAATGGCAATTACGGTATATCTCGTTGCTAAGTTAAACAAATTATTTAGACGCCACCGGTAAATGTATCCGGAAAACTGAAATTATTCGTTTTAAATTCATGTCGCACCAGTCATCATAAGAGAATGAATAAAAAACTAGAAAAATACTGTAACGAATTTCTTGACTCTTGTCGATGACGTCACGACGTCGCGCCGGTAAACCTACCGCATAACGCATAAACAGTCTTTGCTCGAATCTAACATAAGACGCATATTTTATTAAACATTTTCAGGCCTCCGATTCAAATGTTTGCGTATGTTATATTCCCCTTTTTCTATTCTGTAACCTAGCCAACACTGATGCGACGTGAATTTAAAACGAATTATTTCAAGTTTCCGGGTACATTTACGGGTGGCGCCTAAATAATTTGTTTAACTTAGCAACGAGATATACCGTAATTGCCGTTATTTGTAACTAGAAAAATGATTCCTTTTTCTTACCTTTGAATTCATCTATAAACTCTGGCAAGTTCCACTTGATGAGCAATGAACTTACAATATCGGACTCGTCCATTTCTTCCATTTTCTTCGCTAAACGTGGCTAAACTGTACGTCCCTACTCCTTCGCAATCACCACCAAACTAAGAGCCCTAAGAGCACAGGGAGCACAGAAACTAAAGATGAACACCAATGAACACGTGTGAACACGTTCGAGGTCAATCGAAATCACGCGATAATACCATGTGAACAAAACAAAATAATTTACCTTTTCATATAAAAGTGTTATTTTTAATGGCAATAACTAGAAGGTTTTGAATTAAAAAAGTTACTTCTTAAAATAAGATGTTCAAGAAGTTTTGTTAAACAACAAGGACACACTTTTAATTCAAGAACTTTTTATCTTTCGCTAAAATTATATTCATATTACCACAAAAGTCTTTCATAATTTAATACAATAATTTTTGCGATTTAAAATCAACAACTAACATTATTAAAGTAACAACCTATCTATTTTAAAATAAAATACTATCTGGTAGTAACAACAGTTTTCACTTTTAAAACAAAAGGATATTGGTTAAGAGTGATGCCATCTTATTTTAAAATGACATTTTTCTCTCAGTGTAGTAGCTTGGATAATACCGCATCGCTTTTCTTTTGCGATATTTCTCATATCTGTCATAATAAGGGAGGGGGAGGCCAATGCGTTTTCATATGTTTACATTTTAATATCTCCTAGACCATTCAACCGATTTGAATGTTTTCGGTGTTGTTTGAAAGAGCATTTTATGCTCTTTTTAAAGATATTTTCAGTAAGACCATTTGCTTTAAAACAAATGAGCTAGAGGGCGTTATCTGCAGCGATTACATATTTTTGTGATTTTTGAAGAAAAGTTAAATGGAACGATACTATTTACTTCACAGACCCTTAGTCACCTTAAAATTNCATTAAATGTAGTAACAATATTTTGTCTCAAGTGTATAACGCCTCCCCTGCAACCTTCTTCCTTCGTTGTCATATTGGCTCAAAAAAAAAGGATTGTTTTAGTCTGTCTAAACTTGAAATTGACTGCTTAAAAAGTTGTTTCTTTGGTAATAATTTTCTTTTATTTCTTTAGGATGTTATACTCTGGCGCTGGAATTTTCTCTTATACATTTCCTGTATAAATGTTGGGCTTTAGTGATAAGTCGTCTTGTTTGTGGACACCCACTTCCTCCAATAAACTCTCCCTTTGTTTAGCTGTCAAAAAATATCCAATAATGATCCCGATTAACGCTCTTTCCCCATTAAGCGGGGTTACCCTGTAATATGAAATCAAACTTTAAAAAAATTATACTACATTCTTTTGTAATAAAAGGGAAATTAAACGTTTT